AAAAAAAAAAAAAGATTAAAGCAAAGTTCAGGGTAATTAACGGTCCTACTCTATGGATTTGAAGGTAGTAGAGTAGGGTTAATACTAGGAGTAGTTACGGAGTACTTCAAGTTGTATCTGCCAGGCAATCTACGCCCAAAAAGGAAATAGACAGGGCAAGCTGGGGTTGACCCAGTGTTCTGTACAGACTCCGTAGTTACAGCATACCAGATGACAAAGACGAGTTTACTTTCCAGCTGGAACACAGTCTCCTCTGCCGTGAAGAAGGAATACCGCAGTAGAAGCTTGTGAAAGGGTCATTGTTTGCCACCACCTGTCAGACAATTTGGTACAACAGTCCCCTTGACTCGGGGCAATTCGCGTTTCAATTTATTTACATCATTGTTTGTTTTCGTCAGCATTTATTTCACTTCCCGAGACATTCTTTTTTCTTTTGTCTTTTGTCTTTTGCCTTTTTTCCTTTTCTTTTTCTTGAAGTTCTGCAGTTTCTAGATAGAAGATACTATACTAGTACTACCTGACTCCGGCAATTTGAAATACTCTAGACTCGTCCGCATGTTTACTGGATGACTAGCTACAGTACTTTAAATCCCCTTGGACACACGTGCCCCCCATCGGATAAAATTACCCAAGGACTAAGTTATTTGACTTGCCCCTCCGTCCCGCGACTGCCTGAGGAGTAAATGCGGGCGGTAAAGCAAAAACAACGAAGAAAGTAAAGCCTGGAGACCAAAACGTCAACCCACCCTTCCCCCCGACAAAAAAAAAAGGAAAGGATCCCAAAACAATTTTCCCTTTTCTGTGTGCTGTGTGCGGTGACCAGAAACTCCATTGCTGGAATCAACTCTTCTTGCTGTCCCACTCTTCTCTCTCTCTTGCCCCCCCCCACACTTTCGCAAGTAACCTGCGGGCATTGACCGAGAGTGACTGTCTGGCACGGCTCGTCATCGTAACGGGAGAACCTGTCTCACCATTTCCCGAGTAGCATTAACTTAACGGGAACGTTGACTGTCAGTCCCGTTGCGATTTATTGATCATCCATCCCCCTCTCTTTGGAATAATCTGTCAACAAAGTACCCCGCGGCGACCGTTTTCTTCCCCTCTAGTACCCTTTGCCTGCTGGCTCTATTTCTTGTTATTGATCGCATTGCTGTCCTCCCAGTTGGAATAATTCGGAACGTCGGTCGTCGTCCCACCCCCCTCTCAATATGGACGGGGACGACCTCATCGCCTCGGTCTACCGCAAGATCGAGCGGGAAAAGGCCCTGATCACCGCCGCGTCCAATATGCGACAGTCAACCGATAATCCCCTCGTGCAGCAGAGAGTCGACGCGAACATCCGTGATGGTCGGAAGAACATTGCTTACTTGGAGGAGAAGATGAGAGAGTTGCAGCTACGTCGAGATGGAGGATCCCCTACGGATAAGCGTCTCCCACCTGAACCGGGCGCAGGACCAGCCCTCCTCCGAAGGACTATGATGAGCATGACGCCTCGGGAGCTTACCCGCAAGGAGGATCTGGTCCTATGCCGTCGGGCGCTCCCTTTGCAGATCCCCGGCCTTTCGCTCCTGTTCCCAAGGCTCGGCCGAATTTTACTAAACTTGGTATGCTTCATCTGTCGCTCAGCGCCGACAGGGGCCTTGCAAGCTCCCAACATGTCTAACTGACGCTGTGCTATATTCAGACTTGATCAAATATGATACCCCCTATCTCGGACCTAAGATCCAGCTCATGTTGTCGCAACTCGAGTTCAAGCTGAGTGTTGAGAAGCAATACAAAGCGGGTATTGAGAAGATGGTTCGTCTGTATCAGGATGAGGGTGATAGAAAGAGCCGCGCAGATGCCGAGGGCCGGCGGATCGAGAGTAATCAGAAGATTCAACTGCTAAAGCAGGCCTTGAAGCGATATGAAGATCTTCACGTTGACATTGAACCGACAGACTCCCCGGACGGTATGTTCTTTACACACCGGTGACCGCCGCGTAGGAGCTAACAGCTTGTGTTCTAGATGAGAGTTTGAACACACCAAACATGCGCAAGCCACTTACTGGTCTTCTGACGTTGCGTATCCAGGCGGTTACTGATGTAGATCATGCCGCCAGCTCGAGGTTCTCTCGGGGCCCGAGACTTTCGTCATCATCAAAGTTGAAGACACTATCAAAGCCCGTACAAAAGCGACGCGGACCGATAGGTGGCAAGATGAGACCTTTACTGTTGACATTGATAAGGCAAACGAAATTGAACTTACCGTGTACGACAAGTCGGGTGACAGGCCCACTCCGATTGGCATGCTTTGGGTGCGCATCTCCGATATCGCCGAGGAGATGCGTCGCAAGAAGCTCGAAAGCGAGCTCAATGCATCAGGTTGGGTTTCTGCGGATAAGATGGAACACGGAGGTTCGTCGGGGCGGCCTGACACCGCTGGACAACCAGGATCTCCGCATGCCCCGGGCTCCGCGGGGCATCTTGGCCCCCCTGCTCAGGGTTATGCAGGTGCTCCGGGTGGAGCGCCCTCTTCTAACTCAGTGATGATCGAGTCTTGGTTCGCATTAGAGCCCGTGGGGCGGATCCATCTGTCGATGAGCTTTGGTAAGCTTCTATGGTTTGTGTATTATTCTACGACCGGGTACACTAACCTGTTGTATAGCCAAACAATTGAAGGATCGACGACCGTTCGATATTGGTCTTAACCGACAGGGTGCCGTTCGTCAAAAGAAGGAAGAGGTCCACGAAAAGCAGGGACACAAGTTCGTCACTCAACAATTTTACAATATCATGCGTTGTGCTCTCTGTGGTGATTTCCTGAAATATGCTGCCGGCATGCAATGCGCCGACTGCAAGTATACGTGTCACCGCAAGTGTTACCCGAAGGTCGTTACCAAGTGTATCAGCAAAGCAAACTACGAGACGGATCCAGACGAGGAGAAGATCAATCACCGTATTCCTCATCGGTTCGAGGGCTTCTCCAACCTCTCTGCCAACTGGTGCTGTCACTGCGGGTACTTGCTCCCATTTGGACGTAAAAGTGCCAAGCGATGTTCAGGTATATTCTCCGAACGAACCCCAGACCGTGTATATGACATAGATGCTTACATTGCTCTTAGAATGTGGCCTCACTTGCCATGCCAATTGTACTCATCTTGTACCTGACTTCTGTGGCATGTCTATGGAAGCTGCGAACCAGATCTTAGAAACGTTGATTCGTGCTAAGAATCACAATAAATCCGCTTCTGTTAGTTCTGGTCTCAGTGGCCGCACCCTGCGGCCAGGTGGCCCGCCTCAAACCCCTCAGGATCCTGCTCTTGCATATCCGCAAAAACCCGTGGAGAGCCCATATGGGCTACCTCAAAGAGAGCCTTCTGCCGAAGCCGTGAGCGCTGCAACTAACTCGTATATACCACCACAGTCTCCAACGGCCGCACAGCGACAGCAAATGCCGCCAAGAACGTCATCTGCAGGTCCTGCCGCTGCTGCTGCCGCTGCCGCCACAGGCATGCGCACGCCCCAACAGATGCCTAGTATGTTGTCCTATAGCCCTTCCCCCACCCTTCGTTTCCAATCTATGCTTCTGGAGTAGAATGGATTGAGCTAATCACGGAGAAGCAGGTCCGGTGCAAACGCAGCCACCTTCCCACGCCCATTATGATCCTGCCGCGTATGTGTCCTACCAGCAGAGCATGGCGCCCCCGCCGCAACAGCCGATGCCGCAGAAGGTCGCGTCGCCTTACGGTGTACCTCCACAACAGCAGTCTGTGCCAGTAATGCAACAGCAGGTTGCTGTAAAAGAAGATGCTCCACCTCAGCAACCCAAGGTCAGGATTGGCTTGGATCACTTCAATTTCCTGGCTGTCCTTGGTAAAGGTAACTTCGGAAAGGTCATGCTGGCCGAAACCAAGAGCACCAAGAAGCTTTATGCTATCAAGGTGTTGAAGAAGGAGTTCATCATTGAGAACGATGAAGTGGAGAGTACCAAATCTGAGAAGCGTGTCTTCTTGGTTGCGAACAAAGAACGCCATCCATTCCTTCTCAATCTCCACGCCTGCTTCCAGACAGAGACTCGTGTGTATTTTGTCATGGAATATATCAGTGGCGGTGATCTAATGTTGCACATTCAACGCGGCCAGTTTGGTTTGAAACGAGCACAGTACGTTCTTCTAGCATCCGAGTCCTCTGCCCAACCTTCCTACTCTATCATGTGGAGATTAATGCTGTTAATACTAATACAACACGCAGGTTTTACGCTTCAGAAGTTCTGCTGGCACTCAAATATTTCCATGAGAACGGTGTCATATACCGTGATCTGAAGCTCGATAATATTCTACTGACACTGGATGGCCACATCAAGATTGCAGACTACGGTCTTTGCAAGGAAAATATGTGGTATGGCGCCACCACAAGCACATTCTGCGGAACTCCCGAATTTATGGCACCTGAGGTAAAGCCCAAGTACCCTAGGCATCTTAGATACAGCCATGGTTGACTGACATGTTTTCACAGATTATTTTGGATAAAAAATACGGTCGAGCAGTTGATTGGTGGGCATTTGGTGTGCTGATTTATCAGATGCTTCTGCAACAATCTCCCTTCCGTGGTGAAGATGAGGATGAAATCTATGATGCCATTCTTGCCGATGAGCCGCTGTATCCAATTCACATGCCCAGGGATTCCGTTTCGATCCTTCAGAAACTACTCACTCGCGAGCCAGAACTAAGACTTGGCTCCGGCCCAACCGATGCCCAAGAAGTCATGTCTCATGCCTTCTTCAGGAACGTCAACTGGGATGATATCTACCACAAGCGCGTCCCTCCACCGTTCTTGCCGACCATCACCAGCCCCACAGACACAAGCAACTTCGATCAGGAGTTCACCAGCGTCACACCTGTTCTGACGCCTGTGCAATCCGGTAAGCAACTATCCTCAACCCGGTTTTTTTTTTCAGCGCTAACCATGACATGTTCTATCTCCAGTCCTCTCCCAAGCCATGCAGGAAGAATTCCGTGGTTTCTCCTACACGGCAGACTTCGCCTGATCCAAATCTATATTTAATGGTGACTAATGCCCCGCAGTCATCGCAGTTATTACGCATCTGTTCGACGTGGACCTTGGATTTTTTGTTTCTCTGCCTTCTTGATTGTTACTGCCTTCGGCACTTTTCGCACTGGAAATGTTCAATAACATACCCATGAGAGTTTTGAGAGAAGGTGTAAGCGCTTTTATGGCTTCTGCGAGTGCAGATGGAATGGAATGAGTAATTTGGTCTGAGGTTGTTTTATCCTATATCTCCGCAGCATTCTAGGCTGTTTATTTAATTCTCTGGAGGGTTTACTTTCCAATCTCGGAATGTAATTCTTCCTTGACTGTTCGCCTTGAATGTGCCCTACTCGACTGTTACACCCATTGGGACTCTCTATTCTTGCCCATATTTGAATGTAATACGTCGGCATACTGATTTGATTGTCTGCTCCTAAGCGTGTAGCTGATCGGGATCACGAAGCATGACAAACAAGTCCCATGACCCCAGCTGTCCCCTACTACTAGTACCTGCCAAACATCGACTCTTTGCCCTGTCTCTTTCTAACTTGTGTTACTGCAACCGTGGAGCCCCTCTTGCACACTGAAATGGACACACCGAGGACATGATAGGTATGACTTCATTTTGTCCTCATTGTAGTCCATAGCACCAGTCTGCAACGCCCTTTTCCCGCTACATAATTCTTTGCGAAGTATCAACTGGCCAGCGTCCGGACAAAGAACGGTATCTAAAGAATAAAGGGTACTAAAATAAATGTTCTGTGTCTGATTTCTACAAGACTGGTCTCAAACGCTTCAATTTATATTTGACTCGCATTGACACGCCCCGAAAACACTCAAAGCCCCATCTTCTCGAGGTAAATATCAGTTATCGATGCCCTGTGGGAAATATCTCTTACTCTAATTCCTCATGTGGTCACACAGGTCTTCTTACTGCGCTCTCCTCATTACGATACTTACTACTGCCAGTGTAATAAAGGCATATGAGTCTTCCATCTCCTCGGCCGATCCATTGAGATAACACATTTGAAGACATTTGCTTGCTCCTGTTTATATCTATCAAATGAAAACGCGCGGATCTTACGATATGATAGCAGACTCAGATGGGCTCAATCAACCTTTGAATTCGACGACTCAACCTCCCACTTCTAATAAGACCAAGGCCAGAAAGAGAAAAATCTCGGACCCGAAACACACTCCAAAGTATGACACTGACAAAGACGAAGTCTCCACAGGGCTTCGTACACCAAAGCAAACCCCACGGAAGGAAAAGAAGATACCTGATGACGCTTCCAGTCCAAAGAACATCGCATCTGGCCAGTCTTCCAAGAGAAGGAAGCTTCACAGTCAGCCGGATAAGCTGGCTCATTCTCTCTCTAGACTCGCTCGTGATCCAGTCGAAGAGACAAAGCAGACTAATGTCAATACAAATGCATGGCAGTATGCGAACTTACTGTTTGAGGCCGGCCTTTCTATCTTTACTCCCACGAGCGATATCTTGACGGCCACACATGATAACAAACGGTCTATTCCTGAACCAGCTGAGAGTATATCTTCGCCTTTGTCAAAACACTTGGGGAGCACCGTAGTCGATAGTGAGAAATCTATAGCATCAAAGCGGCTTATGGTTCAGAAGAGAAGCCATTCTCGTAACACAGTCCCCTCCATACCCCATATAAAAGAAGAGATATTTGATGATCCAAATTTCCGTGTCTCGCAAGCTACAAACTCGACTGTTGTCTTGAATCTTTCTGTGGAGAAGGCCAGGCGCTGGGCTGACGCAATCGACATTCCTGAAGGTCTTTACAATGAAGAAGAGAAGGATCTCTTTTTCCGGCTTGCCATGCGTGGGTTTGAGCCCCTTATACCAGACCAGTGGAGGTCCGACTTTCCTACCCTTCCATATACCCTGTTTTCCGATGCAGAGGGCGATTCAGGGCCATTGATCTACACATTCAAAAGTTCCAAGACTGATGGTGAGTTCATGGTTCTACTCCACTTGCGTTTTCTTCTCACTATACCATAAATTGCTAAAATATAATGCAGCAATGAGATCTCTCGCAGCTTTGTTTTCTCTTGGAGGTCGCGTGAGGGACTGTAGGATTCTAAAGAAGGATCCCGAGACCTTGATCAAAACTACCATCAACCGATACTTTCGCTGGGCCTTGCGCGATACTGGTATACACACAAAGCCCGATGCAATTCCCGTACATGTGATTTACGCCCAAAAGAAAGGGGAAACCACACTTGATGCTGTTAAAAAGCTGAACCGGCGCCTACAAGTACTCTCCAGCCGACACCGCGAAGCGTTGAGTGTGGCAGCCCTAGATGGAGGTCATGGCTCGACTAATCTTCAGCCCAATGGGGAGGGTGATGGCTATTCTGGTCCTTCTCCAATTTATCCGCTTCTCATTGGATTTATCATATGTGGTCCCATAATTGCAATCCTAACTCTCGGCACTGACTTTCTAACAACAACTAAGGATATAGATAGCAAATATATCTGTCAGTTTGACTTGGAAGATGAGGGACACGATGTCTGGAACTCACTTGCGGTCGCTATTGCGGTTATGAAAATCCGGAAAACCATGATACAACTCGCAGATAACGGCGTAGGTGGTGTTGTTAGGCTACCTTTAGGCACAGAGTCAACCTTGGATGTGGATATCTAAGGATATGTGACGACTATGGCTTTGTTCATCCGAGAACGGTTCGATTTGTGCTGGACTTTCTAAGGCAATATTTGCTTCTCCTTTTACAAGTATATACATAGGGCTTTATGAATTCATTGACTGGAGTTTCCTCAAAAGTTTCAAAGCGTAAGCTCTACTTTCCAAGTTAGATATATACATCTCGTACGCCTTTGTAATTCTGGCTATAAACTACGCCTAATCTCTTTTCCATGCAGTTATACGTATAGATCCTCATATATAACCACATATAGATTGAGTACACCCAGACATACCCATGACACTGTCTTTGGAAACTTCTATACGATGCATGGTCGAAGGCCTCATACAGGTCACATGACCAGATACAATATTGACCGATTCCCCGCGGTTTAGAATGTTGACATTTGTCTCCAAAATCCTCAACGCCCCTGGCGCAATACCATCATGGATGCAATAGAAGATAAGGAGGTCAAACTACAGCGCGCTTCTGGCGACTTGGTGACGGAATTCTCAGAGAAACTGCCCTCTCTGCTCTGGAAGCCACGAACGGAGAAAGGAGGTACCCGAGTTCCACGAAGATGGACACAGGCTGCTAAGACGGAGAGACTCGTAGGTCTTGTAAGTTGACGATATTTCCCAAATAAACTACGAAAAATCTGGAAATATACTACTGAGTTGTCATCCACTAATACCCATTTTTGCTATAGCTGGAGCCTTTTCAAGAATGGCCTCAGCTGTTGGATCCACACCTTCAATCGCTGCTGCCACCTTTAGTCGATGCTTTCTTAGCATACTTGCTAAAGCATCCCAATCAGTATAAGGCAGATAAGCCACAGCAGCAGCAGGCACTTTATCCCTTGCCAAGGACGATCTGTAGACTTCTTTACACTTTTTGCAAAGTGCGTGGGGTCAAGGTTATTAGTAGGTTCTTGAACAATGAGCCGAAGTATCTTGACCCCTTACTCAGGGCTTTTATCGAATGGGATGCAGTATGCCAAGATGATTCAGAAATGGGCTTGTCAGGGGACATTCCTCGACGGCTCATCTGGGAGGAGCGCTACGTGATGTTGATTTGGCTCTCGCACTTGTTGCTCGCTCCTTTTGACTTGGCGTCTATGTCATCAGACGATATCCCAGTGCCATACGAAAATTTGGGTCAACTTAGACCATTACCAGCTGAGGTTCCAACAGTCTCTAGGTCTCTCCTCTCGGTATCGCTGAACTATGTCAATGCCTCTGGGAAAGAGCGTGAGGCTGCCACTGTGGTTCTGGCACGTCTTGTATTGCGCCGGGACATGCAGGCTCTCGGCCTGCTCACTAATGTGACAGACTGGGCATTTTCCATCGTACAACCTGCAGGGAATTCCGAATTGCCCTCTGTCTATACTTGCATCGGAGTCCTTTCTTTCCTTGCACGCTTAGGTGCTTCAGGTCAGGTTGAGGACTTTGCTCCCTTGATCGTGCCTGTGTTCGAGAAGACATTACGAACTGCTCAGGGAAACTCAAAAATCTCCGATCTCATTCAATCTTCTGCGCTGGCGCGGAAAATTATCATTAAAATTCTCCGCACAATGACAATTATGGCTCTGCAGCTTAGCGAAAGAGCGAATAGCCCGCTGTCAGGTGATATGCTGTCTTCCATTTTGGAAGATACCATTGACCACTTTCTGGTGGCTCTAGCTGATAAAGATACACCCGTGCGATTTGCTGCGAGCAAAGCACTCAGTATAATTACTTTGAAGCTAGACTTGGATATGGGTACCGAGGTTATTGAGGCTGTTACTGGTTCATTAGAGGAGAACATACTCTATGAAAACAGTGATGGCACCATAATAACACCATTTGAAGCACGCAGGATTGGAATGAACAATACCAAAAGAAATCTGAGCGCGGTTGATGCTCAAAGATGGCAGGGTCTCATACTAACATTGGGTCATTTGCTATTTCGCCGTGCCCCTCCGACTGGCCAACTTCTTAATATACTGCAACCACTCGTTTCTGGACTCGACTTTGAGCAAAGATCCTCAACTGGAAGCTCTGTCGGCACTGGCGTGCGTGATGCTTCATGCTTCGGTATATGGGCTCTATCTCGCAAGTACACCACTCAGGAGCTGCTCGCATTGGATGCACAAACAATAAGTACTTCTACGAGCCAAAAAGAGTCAAGCATATTGCAGATGCTGGCTACCGAGTTGATATGTGCCGCTTGTGTGGACCCGTCGGGCAATATTCGGAGAGGTGCCTCTGCTGCTTTGCAGGAGTTAATTGGTCGTCATCCTAACATAATCGTCGAAGGTATTTCGCTAGTACAGGTTGTGGATTATCATGCCGTGGCACGCCGTTCACGAGCGATGATTGATGTAGCAAAAGCTACGGCGGACTTGAGCCATCAATACTGGAGCCCTCTTGTTGAGTCACTGATGCACTGGAGAGGAATCGGTTCGCCAGATGCTGAGTCGAGAAGGCAGGCAGCAAATGCAATAGGGGTCCTGAGTGCCCAGGAATCCTACAAGACGATGAAGATTGTCCTTCAGCGACTGTTCAAGAAACTCTCCAGCCTCCCTCGAGGCGATGTTGAAACGAGACATGGGTGTTTCTTGGCTCTCTCAGCTACAGTAAATGCATTTAATTCCTATCAAGAAACACCACTTGAGAACAAGGACCCCTCCGAGGCTTTGGAGGTTACCACGCAAATACAACAACTATGGGGTATTTTCGATTCCCCGCTTGGCCCCACAAAAGAGGACTTGACTCTCCAAGTTCGACGTCCAGAATTGAGCGCTGAAGCATCATCACGTCTGGTATACTCTCTTTCAAGAGCGGCGTCTTTAGCAAAGGATTCTCTTCCTTCGCAGCCAACAGTTACTTTGCTTGATAAAGCCCGGGAAACCCTCTTACTTTGCATTTCTCGAAGTGAAGATATTGTAATAGAAACTTCTTCAGATGCTATATCAGAGTTGTTCCCTCTTCTACCGTCATCGAAACAAGAGGAGACGATAAATGGCTGGTTTTCATATATCCACGCTACTTGGAAGCTACCGACTGGCCGTGGTCAGATCTCAGTTCTTGGTGCTATATTCAAGCAAGTTAGACCTGAAGATGATTTACGGCAATCAATCATAAAAGAACTGCTACAGTGTGCCGGAAAAGAAGAATTAATTGAGAAACGAGTAGTAGCTGTCAAGAGTTTGGCTAACGGTGTCCTGCCGCATATAGGTACGTGAAACCCAGCAAATGGGGAATGATGCTGACCATGTTGCAGATACAACAGATGATATCGCAGACCATCTTATCGAGTTCTTGAATGATTACACGACAGATAGACGAGGAGATATTGGGTCATTGATAAGACTGGAGGCAATCCAAGCTGCCACGGTAGTCCTCCAAAAACAATCCGGTTCTGCAACTCGCACCCCCCGAGTCCAGAGCATCATAGGTTGTTTATGTCGACTTGCAGCAGAGAAGCTAGACAAAGTCCGCCTCCAAGCTTGGCTTTGCTTGCAGGGCTTCTGGAAGTCGGCCGAAGATTTTCCACCCTTACAGAGGTAAGTGAATATCGCACGAATATCTCAGATGTATTACTGACTATATCAGACAATATGACCATTTCAGTCACGTATCCCTGCCTGACTACTTCCTTCAGCTCTTTGAGTTGCAAGCCATCGACTGGTTGCGCTTGCCATTATTACAAGGAATTGCAACTTCTGCAGTTGCTGGGGCAGAGGGACTTGTTCGCTCAAGTCGTTTGGCTCTGATGCAGAGTATCAATAAGTATGAGGCTGAACAGCGGCAAGACATAGTGACCTCCATTATCAAAGATCTCATGGTTGCACTGAGCGATAACCTGCAAAATGACCGTTACGCTATCCCGGTGCTGGAGTGTTTGGCATTCCTGCTCGATAGCTATATTAGTTTCACCCCCCAATCTTCAGAGTCAAGGTTAGTTCCTCTCTACCCACTGAGCTGGGATCACTGCTCACAGCCTCTAGCTATAGGAAATTGTTTGTTCTTGTTCAGAAGGCACATTTCAAATCCTCTAATATAGGGAGATTGGAAGCTGCAATCAAAGTGTATGCGCCCTTGTCAAGGCTGGAGCAGTTACGAGCAGAAGTATTGAAAAAGATGACCTCAATGCTTCTGCATCCCTTTCCACGGGTACGTCTGTTCAACTTGATTGTGGAGAAATCATTGCATTAACTGGCATATAGGTTCGAAATGCTGTTGCAGAGTACCTGTTTATGGAGACTACACTAGAGTCGGTGAAGACCGAAGACTGGACTAGACAACCTAAGGAACTGAAGGGTCAGGTTGAGGATGTGAGGAAGGAGTTGGCTTGTAAATAGAAGATTCGCCTTATAGACGATTCTCGACAATGCCGTTACTTGGAATCGAAACAAAGTCAAAGAACATGTAAAATGACACTAGAAAACTGGGCAGACTTACACAAGTATCTTCATGATCAAGAAAGCGATGCAAAGAATATAAGATCTGATGTGTTGAAAAAAATAATAGAAAAAAAAAGAAAGTGCATCATCCGTGAATCGAACACGGGCCTCATCGATGGCAACGATGAATTCTACCACTAGACCAATGATGCTTCTATGAGAGAATGGGCCACCTTTACAATAAATAAGCCTAAATTGCAACTCCAAGCTGAATACTCCATCTTCAGAAGTTCCGCAACCCGTGCAATCGCAATTACAACACCAGCTCGACGAGCTCCCCAGTCGCAAACATGGCGTCAATGACCGCGGCTGCAAACAGCATCCCCCCCAACTCCACGTAAGTCCCAAGCTCATGTCTCCCATTAACCCCTTCAACAGCGAGAAATACTAACCCAGCAACCACAGAGTCTATGTACGATCCCAACCCATCACAATCTCCACCTAATACAAAGTGAACGCCCACTAACACGCAGCTCCCCAACCAGGTCCGCAACCTTGAAGAGCGAGTTAAAGTCGACCAGCTGAAGGAAGCGCTTCAGGAAATCTTCTCGGAATATGGCAACATCATTGACATCGTCGCGAAGACCAATCTGAAGGCGAAGGGCCAGGCGTTCATCGTCTTCGATAGCGTTGACTCGGCCTCGAATGCCATTGACGAGATTAACGGGTTCGAGCTCTTTGATAAGCCGATGGTACTGGATTTCGCAAAGACGAGGAGCGATGCGACGGTTTTGAGAGAAGGCGGGGAGGATGAGTTGGAGGCTCATAAGAGGAGGAGGTTGGCTGAGAAGGGTACGTTGTTTTCTTTCTTTCAGTCTTTCAATCTATGTTTTTGCGACTATACTAGGGTGTTTTTTCTTACTGGGCTGGTTCGAGGCTAATGAGGTACATAGAGCGCAAGCAAGCTCACGAGGCCCTCGAGGCTCAAAAGAAGCTCAAGCGCCCCCCCGGTGCTGCCCCCGACTCCACGCGTCCGGCCAAAACCGCCAAGGGCGCTGGTCTCAAGCCCACCAGCGGTGCAACGGCGGCTGTCATCCCGGACGAATATCTTCCTCCCAACAAGATTCTGTTCCTGCGGGACCTCCCCGACACGGCGGACCAGGAGAGTCTTACTGCTGTTTTTGGACGCTTCGAGGGATTCCAGGAAGTCAGATTGGTGCCGGGCAGAAAGGGGATTGCGTTCGTCGAGTACGAGAACGAGTCTGGTGCTATCAGTGCCAAGGAGGCTACCTCGGGGATGCCTATGGGGGAGAGTGGCAAGCCGATCCGGGTTACTTACCAGAGACAATAAGCTGCGCGGAGGTAGTTCGGGCAATCGTGAGCAACTTGTTCTGGCGTTGGGGTGGGTTTTATCTGTTTTATTATATTGATTGGAATTCGATACAGAGCTTGAGCTTCCCCTCATGGGTTTTTATTCTTATTTCGTGTCTTTTCTCTTGTGGAGATTGGCATTGTAACAAGTGAGGTACAGGACAGTGAAAATCGCAAATGAATGATACCAATGACAGCTACATGCTAGAAAGTATAACAGTTATAGAGACAGGGAATAGAAATATAAAGGGGAATAAAACTAGAAAATGACATCTGCATCTTCTTCCTCTCCGAGGACATCAGGGGCGTCAGGTGCTTCCTTTTCTGGTTCCAATGCTTTTTGGCCCTCTTTCTCTCGGGCGGCTGCCCGCGCGGCCTCAATCTCGGCGTCTGCGGCTGCAGTGTCGCGCTGCTTCTTACCTGATACCTTCTTAAGTCGGTAGAACTCTTCTCTGTCCAGTTCGTCGAGTTCGGACATAATGTCTGGTTGATGTTAGCTACGAACGAAAGCTGATCTCATAAGTTACTGACATTTAATGGTGTTCTCGGTCCGGGGAATAATAACATGTTCACTGGCGGAGAAGTTAGTTTGTGGATTCCTGGCCTCCTAAAAGAAGCGCCTTACATCGCGTTGACTGTGAATAAAGTTAGTTAATGAGCATCGACCTGCATGTAGTAAGAGAGTACGCACCTCTCCGATTGACAACCTTGATTACCTCGTCCAGAATAACAAACGCAGTCTATAAGCCGGTGTCAGAGGTGAATTATAAAGCAGCTAGCTTTCACACCGTACCTGTAAGCTTGCAAGCTCAACCAAGGTTTCGACCGCGCGAGCGTACGTCTCTCGAGACCGTTGAACTTGCTGACCTCCTTTTCCGAGACCAGTTAAGCCGAAGTCGTTAATTCCTTCCTCCGTGTAGCTCTCAAAGTGAGGGAGGAGGACACCGGAGACGTTATCTTGTTTGGCGCGTACACGGAATCGTGCTTGCTTGGCGGATTCTTGAATCTGGTAGCCGATATCGCCTCCAACGGCGTAGCTCACTTCCGCCAAAGAAAACGCGGCAATCTGCATGACCCTCCCCATCTTCTGTTTGGCTTCATCGATACGTCGAGTGATCTCTGGCTTGCCATGTCAGTTGAGGATTATGCGGGGAAATGCGCTCATGGTGCCCACTTACCCCGAAAACGCCTGTAGTTCATGACATCTTAGTATATGCATTACGATTGATTCTTGCGCAGCCGACTTACTTGGTCAGCGCTTCACTCTTCCTCTTTAGCAAGCTGTGTCCGGTTTCCGCGCCTTTCAGTTTACTCTTCATTAACCCCAACGACTGGCGAGTCGGGAAGACTGCCTCGCGGCCCTAGGTGAGGAAAAGACATCAACGGTGGGCCCACAAGAAGACCTGGAGCAAAAGAGACAGACATACTACTGCACCAGACATGGTTAATAGACCCAAGGAGCACGATCAGCTTAACTTGAGAGGCCACGACAGGGAGCGGCGTAGATGACGATAGGCGATAATGGAGGAGGAGCTTGGACCACCTGCGGCCCGCATGATACCAGGTCACGTGGGCGCTGCACGACTTCATCTTTTGCAGTCTCTCAGGCGGCTATCAGCCAACGCGACGAGAAAGCTCTCCAATTCATGCTAAACCCCCTTCCTCGGACTCTGTGTTGACCGTGTGAGCCGATCCCGCTCGACTGAGTGGCGACATGCCAGGGACACTCCTGCCCCCGAGATCTCACCGGCAACACGCGCAAATGGATCGCACGTCGGCCTCAGGGCCGGACCTCTATTTGATAGTGAGTTGTGGCGGCGGAATTTGGTAGGACGAAGGCTAACTGCATCATCTGTTTACAGGCGGACCAGGATACTGTATATGAACAGGATCTCCTTCGGGACACAGGCAGTATCAAACCATGGCTTGCTTATATCGAATATAAGCAGCAGCATGGAACGCTCTACGAGCAGGCTTTTGTATGTTTCGGTTGCGATTAACACTGCCGGAAGCTCTGCTAATCAATCGCAGGTGATGGAGCGTGCTTGCAAGCAACTCCCAAGATCTTACAAACTCTGGAAGATGGTACGCTGCTTCCTCCAACCCCACTCTATCGCATTGAAGTTTGCTGATTTTAGTAGTACTTGGAATTCCGTACGAAGCATCTCCAAGGTCGCAACCCGATTATATACCGAGCCGAATACCAGAAGGTCAACGCGCTTTTTGAGCGTGCCCTTATTCTCCTCAACAAAATGCCACGGATTTGGGAACTGTACCTCTCATTCCTGCTTCAACAACCCCTCGTGACACAAACCCGACGTACATTCGACCGCGCACTACGAGCCCTGCCGGTTACTCAACATAACAGAATATGGAAGCTTTACAAGACTTTCGCGCGTTCCGCTTCCGGCCAGACAGCCGTGAAAATCTGGGCTCGGTACATGCAAATCCATCCGGAGAACGCGGAGGACTACATTCAGCTTCTTGTGGAGATGGGACAGTATACGGAAGCTGTGAAGCGGTATATGGAAATACTCGACAACCCAAGATTTCAATCTAAGGAGGGGAAGAGTCACTTCCAGCTATGGACTGAAATGGTGGACTTGCTCGTGTCAAAGGCGAAGCAGATCGAAACTGGCCCGCATGTCGGTATTGATGTGGACGCTATTCTCCGCAGTGGAATCGACCGGTTCGCTGACCAGAGAGGTAAATTGTGGGCTGGATTAGCAACATATTGGATCACGAAGGGTAGTTTCGAAAAGGCTCGAGATACCTTTGAGGAGGGCATTACGACGGTCATGACGGTTCGCGACTTTACGCTTATTTTCGACTCCTATGTCGAATTTGAGGAGTCTATCATTGGCAATTTGATGGAAGCGGCAGCCGTTCGCGCTGATAAAGGCCAGTCCGACGAAGAGGCAGATTTCGATCTCGATCTCCGAATGCTGAGGTTCGAACAGCTCATGGACCGCCGGCCATTCCTGGTCAACGATGTATTGCTACGACAGAACCCTAACAATGTCATTGAGTGGGAGAAGAGGGTTGCTTTGTGGGGTGATAACAAACAGGAAATCGTCAACACTTACACAGCAGCCATCGCAGCTATAAGCCCGAAGAAGGCTCATGGGAAGTTCTCCGAGCTCTGGGTCAACTACGCCAAATTCTACGAAAGCGGGGGAGATCTGGACACAGCTAGGGTAATCTTTGAGAAGGCCGTGAAGGTCCCCTTCAAATCGGTTGCTGAGCTCGCCGAGACGTGGTGTGAATGGGCTGAAATGGAACTCCGTGGTGAGAACTTCGATAAAGCCGTTGAGGTTATGGCGAAAGCAACGCAAGCACCGAAAAAATCAACAGTTGACTACTTCGATGAGAACCTCTCACCTCAGCAACGAGTTCATAAGAGCTGGAAGCTGTGGAGTTTCTACGTTGATTTGGTTGAAAGTGTCGCGTCGTTGGAAGAGACAAAGAAAGTCTACGAGAGGATTTTCGAGCTACGCATTGCCACGCCCCAAACTGTGGTTAACTATGCCAACCTCTTGGAGGAGCACAAGTACTTCGAAGATTCATTCAAGGTCTACGAGCGAGGGCTGGATCTCTTCAGCTACCCAGTTGCATTCGAGCTGTGGAACCTTTACTTGACTAAAGCTGTTGATCGGAAGATTGGTATTGAAAGATTACGAGACCTCTTCGAACAGGCCCTGGATGGATGTCCTCCGAAGTTTGCCAAGCCGCTCTACTTGATGTATGGCAATCTCGAAGAGGAACGTGGATTAGCCCGCCACGCTATGCGAATCTACGAGCGTGCTACACGTGCGGTGTCCGACGAGGACAGGTTCGAGATGTTTGAGTTCTACATTACCAAGTCTGCGTCGAACTTTGGCCTGCCTTCCACAAGACCGATCTACGAACGCGCTATTGCGGCATTGCCCGACCAGGAAGCCAAGGAGATGTGCCTCAAGTTTGCAGAAATGGAACGACGACTTGGCGAAATCGACCGGGCCCGCGCAATCTACGGCCACGCTTCTCAATTCTGCGATCCTCGGACGAACGCTCCTTTCTGGCAGAAATGGGAGGCATTCGAAGTTCAACATGGAAACGAAGATACCTTCAAGGAGATGCTTCGTATCAAGAGAAGCGTCCAAGCACAGTACAAGTATGTATTCCCTCTTGATTTGACACCACTATGGATCAAGGCTAACATTGCTACACAGCACCGATGTCAACTTCATTGCCTCCCAGGCTATTGCTCGCAGTCAACAGCGGACTCAAGACGGCGACGAAAAGGGTGCCGAGGAAGGAGACGTGGATGGTTCGACGGCAGACGCGATGGCAGCCCTGGAACGACAAGCGCGTGCTCCTGTGGGCTTTGTCGCTGCCAGCACCGGTCCCGAGGGTGGAAATCGACCTCCACCACCTGACCAAGAGCAGCCAGCTGCTCCTGCCAACCCTGACGCTATTGACCTGGACGAAGATATGGATGCCGAGTAAAATACCTTGCGATTGCTACTTTTGTTTTCCTACCATGGCTTTGGATAGTTGCGCTGGCCGAGTTATCTCAATTATCATCGAACTGATGCACGAATATCACACTCCTTTGCTTGTTTCCCTTGTAACAATTATTATCGTCCTGATATCTCCTCGCAACTTTTTTTTTTTTTTTTTGGGATGTCCCTCGGAGGGGTTGCTATCCTCAGCACTTACTTGAATCATGGATATCATCTCTTTCTCTTACTTTTCCTTTGTTTGTGTTCTTAACACCATTCGTCTTGATGGTCTGTGAGATACCTTCGATGGTGTTTTCTGTAGACGGAATGGATATCTTATTCTGGTGCTCTGCGGAGTGTCTTCCCTCTATCTGTCTGTATTTATATGAACCGGTTAATCTCCAGTACCAGTATCCTCCCTTTTTGTTGGGGGGGTATTTGAGAGAATGTGCCCGGTAGTATCTTGCATCTCAGACCGAAGCCCAGTAAGGGGTAGCACAGAAATGTGCCTAAAATGAAAGAATCACAACCACGTGGTTGTCTATCCGGGGGTTTGGTCTTATGTTGCTACAAAATGGCATCCTATATGCAAGAAGCATTCGGTAGCGAGTCTGCCTGACTCTAAACCATGTACCCACGTGTATTGTATTGCTTCGACAGGAGTATGACAACGCATGAACATGAATGACGAAAAATGAAACCCTAAGCACGATAGAAGGCAACGTTGATAATCCCCGTAACGTAGAGATCGCTTCAAAACTTCAGGGATGTGTGCAAACAAGAGAGGAAAAGAGAACCCGAGAGAGAAGATTGACTATGTAAGCTGCGCAAAGCAAGTTCAAGGAAGACTATTACCAAGCAGGTTGTTTCTCTTCCGACTCATTCGTTACCTCGGTCTTGGAAGCGTCACGGACCTCACTACTGAGGGCATCTATGAAAGCTTTGTAGCTTGACCGAAATTCCAGAATACCCATTTCATCCGCAAACTCACCATCAGGGTCTCTCGTATAACCGGCACGCTGGAGATCCTTGATGAAGCGTGCAAAACGCTCCTCAAACTTCGGTGTGAAGGTCTTGTGCTTCGTGGCCAGGATAGTAGCGTGTGCATCTATCAGGCTGATTATGTCATAGTCCTCTGTGCCTCTGGTTAGCTACTAATATCATGACGAGGAGGGGGGTCTAGCCACTTACCCAACAGTGAAGGCACAGCTTGCGGCACTAGTCCATACAGATCCACGAAGACATCGTAGTCCCTCCGATCACCTAAGATATACAGCTCGCTATCAGCCACAACATCCCCACTCGGAACTTTGGTGCTTGCATGAAGAAGGTGTTCGCATTCATCCATAGTCAGGACACGATGGAGCTTCTGCAACTTGTAGCTTGAGAGGAAATAGTTCCTTGCTGGAGTTGAGTCGTCCTCTGTCCCTTCAAGCTTCTTAACCTTCCTGGCTAGCTGATGCTTCTCGTACCACAAGCCAGCCACTTTCGCTTGGAGAAATTTCACCTGGCCGCGTAGTGTATCAAGTTCATGATTGGTCTCGGACAACGCAACCTCGTCTCTGAGGCTTGAATCGACATGCACACGCTCCGGCGAACTCTCCTCAGCCGTGCTCGCGTGCCGGACACCTAAATCACCGGTCACATTCTCCAGCGCCGGCATTTCGTCCTCATCCACCCACGAGTGGTCATAGTTATCGTCCTGAGAACCATCATCCTCTTCGGCCTGCCCCAAGCCTTCATCATTTGGGCTCGGTCGCCAGCCATCTCCTTCCGGATGTGTATCTCCCTGACCAGTTTCGACCCCGTCACTTGTCGCGTGATAAGCTTCATCCCGCTTGAGCAACTTGTCGAGCTTCTCGCTCATCTGATCTACCTTCTGGCGCAGCTTGTCGGTTTCGCTGGTCTTGTTTGCCATTCCCATGCCCCAGGAGTTGCCGGGAGCGGGATCATGAAACCAGTCGTCTGCCGTAGAGGATTCGGGTTTGGGGGTGGCTGAAGCTTTTCGTAGCAATCCGAGGGTCATCTTGTTTTGGTCTGTCTAAGCAAAACGGGAAGTGTTGAGGATGATCTTTGGGAGGGCTGGATCCTGGAGGGGTTGCTGTTTCTTTGTCAATCTATAATTTTTAATAAAATAATTAAAAAATCTTGCGACTCCTCGTGATAGACGGCTGGCCTTCCCTTGGAATATATGGGAGGGGAAAGAAGGAAAAAGGAAGGAAGGAAAGAGCCTTACTCACGTTGACATGCAGGGATACTCCACGGTTTGGCAATATTCTCTTTGTTCAATAGAGGACAGAAGAAAGGGACAAGGTCTTCCAAAAGGCTGCGTGTGCACCTAGCTTTATAGACACCGGTGGGGGGCATCGATTGCAGCCATCACCTAGGGGAATGAAGGCGTAATCCGTGTGAATGGTCGAATTGAATAGTAGATGACGGTTATATTCCTGCGAAGAGTAAGTAATGACCAGCGGAGTCATGATGAGGCAGCAATGTCGGTGAAAAGACATCGTATTCACCGGTGCCTGGAACATTCTCCAAGTTCCTGGGGGGTTTGATCTACGGTTCTGACAAAGAGAGAGGGTAGCAGCATACTGTTGCTATCACAAACCGTAGCGAGAGTAGTTGAATGACTTACTTGACTGAGCTGGTGTGTAGAGAAGACTGTGACAACGTTCGGCTTAATTTGAAGGAAATATAGTACTGGGCTGGGGGATTAATCACGAGATTCATCAAGGACCCCAAAGTCCAAGAATGACTAGAATTACACGGCTGCTAACCTGGTGTTATCTACAAAAGAGCCTGAATAATGGAGTCCTGCTTTATCTAGTTATAGCCCAACTAGAAAACCCTAGGCCCTGAAGAAAGAGCACCGCAGTAGTGGTGCCAGCACCATCGCAGATCCCCAGCTGCCCCAACTCTTTGTTACCTGGACTATGTCAATCTAGCACTCATTCCCCCCCTGATCGGAGTATGGACTAGTACGCACCTACCAGTTGCAAACACAGTGTGCCTTGTGGACATTACAGTGACACCAATGGTAGGGAGTGCAGAAGCAAAGTCCATGGGTGCACGTCCCATCGCATCTCCTCTAGACCAAGTATTGTGAGTACTCCTTGTACTGGATATGGTGAAGAGTACAAGGACTTGCAGGGAGGATATACCTGTTCAGCCTGGAGGGCATTCTCTCGGCCGAAGGGGCTGGTCGTCTCTAGAAGAGCAGCAGGCGTGGGAGTGGGGCTAGGGGTAGGGATCAGAGTGCTAGTAGGAACATTGATACTGGTAGTACGGTCATGAGTAAAGGTTTGCGGAGAGAAAGCCAGTACAGTCTCGAGATATAGACAGAGTATGACGAGGAGAGCAACAGTAGTAGTCTTGATGGAAAGCATATTGCGCGAGAGTTGGAGAAACTGGCTTTGTTTAGACGGATGCAGAGTGTGTTTGGCAGGGATTATAGGTGCTGGTGGATAGAAAACGACAGGAAGAGAGAAGCAAACCAGGCCGAGGATTGTTGAACATATATCCATGTCCAGATGTTGGGATATTGTCAGGTGTTGTAGTTGCATTCGCAGTTAGAACCTGGTATTTCACTCGGCGCAGTCAATGAATACAACTCTCGAGGCACAGAATACCTCTGACCATTCATACTGGGGTACAGATTCATTCGCCTAAATCAGGTCACTATGAAGTAAGCCATCCCAAGCTCCAAGCCTTAGTTATGTTCCTTCAGTGAAATGTGTGTTTATATTACTAGTTAGACCATGGCTTGAGGAACGTGAAGCTCTCCTTATAGATCTCCTGCACATAGGTGTTGCTCAAAAATGAAGAAACAAAAACACAAAAGAAACCATAAGAGCCTGTCGCAAGTGAAGAGAGCATTCGAATTGTAAGCGATAGCACCCTGGAATCTGGGAATCTCGATATCTAGATACTAGTAGGGTTCACGATTGTGTGTACTCCGTATGCCAATCCACCATGTTAGTATCTCGGACTTTGCTCGTCATTAGTATAGACCATTGGCTCACGACCCCTCGACAGGTATAACTGATAACTTCTACCGTCCCACTTATTAAACTAGACCTATCCCTTGTCGGCATTGGCTATTAGAGGGCAGACCCACCCCTGTCTAGTCGACGGAGTCCCTCAAGTCTCGCTTAGCGCAGACTTTGGGGCCGAGGTAGATGAATGCCATGAGGTAAAGAGAATACGAGTCTGCACTCTGCAAAGCCCATCACATGTACTAATAAAAGAACGAGTCTTCTTTTGGAACGGCTGAAGGCGGGGATATATTCTAGAGCATGGTTACATTGGTTGTTTCTTCACTAAAATTCCATGATGGGAATGAACGCCGGCGCCGCACTTAAGCACTCTGCCGATCGACATCTTAAACCGCATCTTGGCAGTGATCAACCGAAAATAACTTCTGTCAAATGCTCGCTGGAGACCCTGACAACAGCACTGTGAGCTTCTTCAACAGTTTGACGACATGAGAAGGCGCCGGTCAGACAGTATGGAACAACCGACGGACCAAGAATCCCAGCTGCGATCCCACCGGAGAAAGCCGCAGCTGGAAGAATGCAGGACAGCAGCGCACAGACAGGGGGAAGAATGAGCCGGCTTTTGCAGGAGTGGGACCCACGAGGTGTTGAATGGATCGGCTCTACTAGGTCTACTGCCGGCCAGTCTTAGTACGCTGCAACGAGCAGGGATCGGTATGCTTCCACTGATCAGCCATGTCTTGTTTCCCCTTTTGAGGGGGGATAACGTCTATTTTTGCCTCCGAAAAAAAACTATAAAAGAGTCGTCCGGGGGCCGTCTTCTCTGGAGCAACATGCACACTGTCTGATTTTCAATCATGTTTGTTCGTCAGCTGTTGGGCCTTCTGGCCGTCGGCACTGGCCTGGCTACGGCTGTCAATCTTACTGGATACGAGTATGTGGTTGTGGGATCTGGAGCCGGTGGTGGCCCGTTAGCTGCTCGTCTGGCCCTCGCAGGACATAAGACTCTGCTGATCGAGGCCGGTGATGATCAGGGTCTGAACCTCAACTATTCCATTCCCGCCTACTCGGCAAAGGCCTCGGAGGATGAGGAGATGTCCTGGAACTTCTTCGTTCGCCACTACGCAGATGAGGCGAGACAAGCTCGGGACTATAAAACCAGCTATGAAACTCCAAGTGGTGAGATCTATACCGGTCTGAACCCACCGGAGGGCTCAACCATGAAGGGCACCCTCTATCCTCGCACGGGAACCCTCGGTGGTTGCACTGCGCACAATGCCCTGATCGCGATCTATCCTCACCAGTCCGACTTCGAATACATTGCCACCCTTACTGGTGACGGCTCTTGGTCCCCGGATAACATGCGCAAGTACTTTGCCAGGTTAGAGAACAACAACTACCTCCTCCCTGGAATGAAAGGCCATGGCTATGACGGCTGGCTCCATACCGAGACCGCCCCGCTCAGCCTGGTTTTGGAGGATCCCCAGCTTCTCAGCTTGCTCCTGGGTGGTGCTTTCGCTCTCGGTAATCATACCAACACGATCTTCAACGTTGGAACCCTTCTTGCCGGTGATGCGAATGCCGACCAGAAGACTCGCGATACCAAGCCGGGCTATTACCAGATCCCGATCTCCACCAACGACGCCCACCGCAACGGACCCCGCGAGTTCATCCTCGCGGTCCGCGATGCTAAGAACGCCGACGGTAGCAAGAAGTATCCCTTGGACGTGCGCACCAACTGTTTCGTCACCAAAGTGACCTTCGACGAGTCTGAGAACCCACCCCGCGCTACCGGCGTTGAATTCCTCGATGGCCAACATCTCTACCGCGCCAGCCCCCTCGCAAACGACTACTCCAAGGGAACACCGGGTACCGCGCAGGCCTCGCGCGAAGTCATCGTCGCCGGCGGTGTGTACAACTCCCCCCAGCTCCTCAAACTGAGCGGTGTCGGCCCAGCCGAGGAGCTCCAGAAGTTCGGAATCAAGGTTATCTCCGATCTGCCGGGCGTGGGAACCAACCTGCAGGATCACTACGAGATCACCGTGCAGGGCCACGTCCCCAAGGACTGGGCCGTCCTAGACGGCTGCACCTTCAGCGAGAATGGCCAAGCCGACCCCTGCATCGACCGATGGGAAACCCCCACCCTATCCTGAAAGACCGGGGTATCTACTCTTCCTCCGGACTGGCGGCGACGATGTTCTATAAGAGCAGCGTGACGGCCGACGACTCCTACGATGTGTTTGTCTTCGGTGGTCCTGTCAATTTCCGTGGTTACTTCCCCAACTACAGCATCAATGCCACCAGCGAGCATGACTGGTTTACCTGGGCTATTTTGAAGGGCCATCCCCGTAACTCCGCGGGCAGCGTCACTCTCCGGTCTGCTGATCCGCTTGATATGCCCGATATCGTGTTCAACTACTTCGACACTGGTGTGGGTGACTATGATGCTGATTTGCAGGCGCTGTATGAGGCGGTTGAGCTGAGTCGCGATGCGTTTGATCGTCAGCTCGTGGATGTCACCGAGGTACTCCCCGGTGCTGATGTGAAGACCAAGGAGGATATCCAGCAGTATGCGAAGGATACAGCTTGGGGACACCATGCCTCTTGTACGTGCCCTATTGGCGCGGACGATGATCCCATGGCGGTCTTGGACGCAAAATTCCGGGTCCGTGGTGTCAGTGGGCTTCGAGTGGTGGATGCTTCGGTGTACCCCAAGATTCCCGGCACCTTTACCGCTGTTTCGACTTATATTGTCGCCGAGAAGGCAGCTGATGAGATTCTGTCTGAGTTGAACTAGACTCAAAGAGTCTACACTGTGGAGCGTGCTATGCATAGCACAACGTTGTATATACTGCGCGAGTAACATTCCTGTAATTATAAGTTTGGAAGCACGTTTTATTGTCTTATAATACCATGTGACATTGGCTCCAGATCAACGAGCGATGCGTTATCTAGTATCCGAGGAGTACTTGTTCAACTACTCCTTCGTCGATATAGTAAACTGCCTATACTCTTAACGTCAACCTATACGGCCGGCTATCTCTGCAGGTCCTATCCATGCAGTGCCATGGTCCCAAAAATGCGAACAAGTCGAAACTTCAAGACCAAGTTTGACCAGATTGGGAGCAGGCAATAACTCCATATTCACCTGCCACCTGCATCGCCCAATTTGCCAGATCGATAGTGTCAAGGCCTCTACATTGGAGGATTAAGATGCCTCAAAGAGGCCTCATTTGCCTTCGACGTCCAGACGCCCAATATGTATGGGTTTTAGGATAGTCTTGTGGATCAAGAGCCACGTATTTGGCATAGGAAATCCCAAGAGGGCAAGATCCTGGGAGCGCCAGTCCTTAGAATAGCCGAGGAGATTGGAATGAACAAGTGATCTCGACCATCGGATGATCTGCTGTGTTGCTATACCTGGAGAGGCAAATCCCAAGGCTAGAGGAACACCAGTTACCTGCTCCAGATCCCGGTCAAACTCCTAGTTAAGAAGTCCCTTTTTGAAACCGCAAGAAGCGGAGGCATGAGTTTCAGATGCTCGCCCAATATGTGACATTGATAGGAAGATACAGATTTATGTAGATCATTAAAGATTCTTATATGATGTTTTTGAAACATTAGGAGTTGGGTTTTCGACTGCATATCAGCAGCGACAATTAGGAGAATCCACGATTAACACTCAAAACGCCATGGACAAGACCCAGAAAACAATGATCTATGTACGTAGCGTCATTCACGAGATGAACGTCGACTCGGAGAACATGACACCCTCCTCGGAGACTTCTTCATCTCCGATCTTCAATTTCAGTGTGAGCTTCTCTTGGGGAGCGAACTAAATCCTCGTTAGCGTAACTCGTCATCATAAACACCACGCAGCCTTACCTGGAAGATGTAGGGCCGTGTGCCAGCGACGCTACCGGCAATAGTCTTGATGAAGCCTGGCACCTCCGCCATAACGTCAATGCGGTCCAATCTCCGCCCGAGTGCACCATCGACCTCCGCATGGACAGCCTTATCATCTTGCGACTTGCCATCCCAAACCCACTTGATGGATTTCGGCTCGGGCCAGTCGCTATCCTGGTCCTGGGCTGTCTCAGTATGGGTAGCCGAGTTAGTTACACCGGCGTAAACAATCTCTCCGTCTTTAACAATTCCGCCAACGTTCACCACGGTCGATCCGTAAGAGGGGGGCGTTGTAAACTCCATCATGACGGCAGTGTATGTAGGAGTCTGGAAATTGACGAAGTTCCACCGCGCAGCTACCTTAAGATTAGAACACTGACTATTCAACTGCTTCTTGGGGGGCATCACTCACCAGCATGATGCGGCTTCATGCCTTGAAGGCCATGGATGAACATGCCGCGGCCTTTGAGGTCGTAAGTTTGCTCCTTGGTGGTGATCGTTCCTTCAACACCACAACGGGGCCAGAATGCATGGCTCATCGAACCCCAGGGGTTCTGTGCATCTGTACCGAAGTAGGAAGTGCCATCCTTTCCAATGACGAAACCGGGGGAAGAACGCTTGAAGGTGATGTTCACCAGACAGTCTTCGTTCACGGCGGACTTCAGTGTGTATGCATCTCCTTCCTCATTGAGCGCTAAAGAGAGGTTATCGGCTCCAAAGGAAAGCATGCTCTCATCGAACATAAAGTTGTACAAGGGATCCGAGTACCACTTGTGGGCGGCATCTCCAGTAAGGTTGAAGATCTTCGCGTTGAACTGGGCGGTGGTGTGAATGCCACTATAACAACCAGGAGAGGTTAGAGAAAACAGAAACGGCTTCAATAGGAAAAGGTCTAGGATTTGGAGAAAAGTCCGGTGCAGCGAGGTAATAATAGCCTTACACAATGTTGCTGTAGATGATCTGCACAAAAACTAAGGTGCCATTGTCGGCCATGATATAGAAGGTCTTGGTCTCGACATTGGTGTATTGGTAGGCGCGCAACGCAGGTCCTCCTTCGAGAGTACAGTGTAAGGGACTTCTTGTTGAGCAACAGATCGAATCGCCTCAGGGCCATAGATCGGCTCCTGCGTACCCGCAACACTCGCGAGGCTAGCGGTAGTGTGAAAGATTAGCACGGTTGAATCTAAGACCCACCGGGGTGGAAAATGAGAGGAAATGCGTACGTTGATTTGAGCCAGTTCATGATGGGCTTAAAGGGAGATGGAGTGACGGGTGTAAGTAGAGTTAAAGCGGTGGAGGGAGAGGGAAGGGAAGGGAAGAGAGAGAGAGAGAGAGTCGAGGAAAGTGTAGGTGAAGGGAAAGGAAATCGATAGCGCGCGGGGAGAGAGAGAGGCAAAGGGGGGCAACTCAATAGCTTCTGACAATGGGAAATAAATCAATAGTGACGAAGGGAAATGAAAAACAACCCAGATCAAGTGCAGTACGAGATTTCTAAAAATTACAAATTATCCAAGGGAGCTACATGGAATAAAAGGATCGAGATTGAGAATCATTTACTCATACATGCATCCATATGTATTCTCCTCCGAACAATGTTTTTAATGACGTTCAGCATTTCATTTCATTTCGTTTCTTTCGCTTGTGGTTAATACGGTAAGTAATTCCGTCGCCGCGGCGCCATTCCAAATCCAGAACTCTCCAAAACTCTGGGACCGCAAAAAGACCTCCGCCCATACAGTTCATTCCATTCGGTCCATATATACCATTGACCTGACCTTTTGAGTTCCCACCAAAAGCCACTCCTGATTCACCATGGCGAAAAAAGCGTTGGCCAAAGATCAAATTGTGAAGCTCATCGTGGGCGCTGGACAGGCCAGTCCCAGTCCTCCAGTCGGTCCGGCCCTCGGTAGCAAGGGTGTCAAGAGTATGGATTTTTGCAAGGTACGTTACGGGAAGAAATAGGTTCAGAGCTCAAATATACATCAAATCTACAGGGCATGTTAATGATCCAGTCCACTCACTGATGACTTACAACAGGAATTCAACGCCCGGACCGCACACATCAACACCGGAGTACCCGTTCCCGCGCGTGTCACCGTCCGTCCGGATCGCTCTTTCACATTCGATCTCCGCACCCCCACGACAACCTGGCTGTTGCTGCAGGCCGCGAACGTCGAACCTCGTAAGAATCGCATACGCGGAGCTATGAACCCAGGCCACGAGATCGTTGGCAAGGTGTCCCTGAAACATGTGTACGAGATCGCGCAAATCAAGCATTCCGAGACGAGACTATCGGGATTGAGTCTGCAGGGGCTATGCAAGAGCGTCATTGCGCAGGCGAAGTCCATTGGCATTCAGGTTGTTCCCTAAATGGGAAGGGGGCGAGATCGACTGTATATTTATTTGACATCCCTGATACGATGCGAGTGTTGCGACCACTGCCGTGAATTATGATACTGGCGTTCTTGGGTATGGAGTCTGTTTTCAATTGTACTATAATACATAGCATGTGATATAGAAAGCGTTGTCGGATACCTGAAGCATCTGCACATGGGCCAGGTCTTCCTGAGGCATGAGACAGATGGAGCTAGTCATCTACGTCTCGTCCTCGGAAAAGGTGGTTCTCTGATCTGAGCAGCACAAAACCATGGTTGGGCGCCTTGATAACCGAAGTTGATGTAAAAGCGTTCATTCCGTGATGCCGACCCCAGACTGGGCAAGGATGGATATGCACACATCTCTTTCACATCCCTTTCCTATGGTGACAGGAGAATAGGGGCCGCAAATGAAATATCCTACTTGATGAGAAGGAAAATAAAATAAGATCAAAATAACAATAAAAGTTAGTAACCTTGACGATGATGATGAAATAAATTAGGGGTAACTAAAGTGAAAGGGGCCCGAGAAAAGAGACGTAAGGGATCGAACCAACTAAACGCCAAGAGCAGCCATCAACATCAATTGCGGATCCCTTCCTGTCACCATGGATATTATTGAGTCAGGACAACGGGTCTTCTCCTGATAGACATTCAAATTGAATACGAGAGGGAGCGGTTCTTGCTTGGCAATTATTTGGCCTACGCAATCAGTTCAATTATTGCCTCCTGGATAGGGAGTGACCTTCGATGATGATCATCTGGCATAGTATCGCCCAAATGAGATAGGATAGACCACGAAGCGCTGGAGTGGGAATTCCCACATTCCTCACCTTTTCCCTGCAGTCTGTTTTTGAAGTGTTTTTGGTCGGAAGTTGGGGGACATAACTCAAAAGAACATTTACTTCGAGTACTGTAGACTATGTGCCTAGAAGAACCCGTACCAAGTGGATAATGATCAAAGAGGCTCATGGGGAGCCGACAGCTGGTGGACGGAGTGGGTATCCACGAACATGTCAGGGCTCCGAACCATTTAATGACTGCCTAATGCATTCCACGCACACCCTCAACAAGCGATTGTTAATGACGATGATTGAAAAACTAGATCCGAGATATCTGGATGCTATTAGTAGTCTGACAGAAGGTTGATTCAGGATGACTCTTTAACTCGTGATATTCAACTATTTGTTCCCATCGATTGCTAATAAGGAAACAAACAGGCCAAATCTGTAGGGCTGCCAAGCTAACCGAGTCTGGAAGCCTTCCAGATCAGGTCCATCCGTGACTAAACCCGGCAAGGAATGCGTCCCAAAGCGGTGTCCCGCGCCCCACTCGGTTGTGGTCGATGAGGTAATGTGAGCAGCATGAACCAAGAAACCGGTGGCGGGAAGCTTTCCTGTCAAAAATCTACGACGAGGTAAAAGTAAGGACTGTCCGGAGTAAATTGTGGAACGTCTGAGACTCTGAATACCAAACCATCATCGTCAATAGCCGACCAACCCCAGCGGAACGTCAAAGCGGTGGCGGATCAGCCGAGTAGCCGTGAATGTAACTAACTCTCACTATGCAGCAGAATTCCACGCCAGATGAAATCCAGAATGTTATAGCGGGGTAGACGGTCAGCCACCATAGACGGAGTTGGAGGGCCGATCGGGAGGGGAGGATCTGGAAGGGTTGTTGTTCTCCAATCCTGTTCGCGGACGCTTGTCGGTATTCTTAGTAGTCTGCCAGTACCGATAACGACCAGGTCTGGCTCATCCTTGGCTTGAGGCCGAATGACCCCCCAAGGCTGAGTGTATTTGTTAAGTACCAAGGTTGGCTAGAATTCTTAGAATTCTTATGACTATTGCCTTCATCTTGGGCTAGATTTCTCTTCGTAATACAACGGGAAATCCGGTGCATAATGGAGAGGACATGGAGGAATTGACAGCTGTAAATAGAAGACTTGGCTTTAATCCCACCGGGTCACATGGTGATGCATCTCAGTATTGCTCGTACCAGAAAGAAAGCAATGAATCCCCAAGATAATCATGACGACGACTCTGTATTTAACTGTCATATACCGTTGACCGTCTCCGCCAGATTCCGAAGAAGATTGAACCGTTTCAAATCCAATCCTCTCAGCACGCGCAAAACGGTCAGTTGAAATCTCAGCAATTGATTTATCTGCCCTGCATAAACTTTTTCTTTTCCTTTATTTTTCCTTTTTCCTTTTTCTTTTTTTTACTTTTTTCTCTCCCGCCTTGTCCCCGACCATTTTTTCTTTCCAGGACGAAAGCGACTGTGCTTGACCAGAAAAACCAAGGGGAATAGTCTTTTTTCCCCTTCCAACTGTTCGGGGTCCATCAATCCATCTTGAACTGATCCGCGTGAATGGTCCAGGCGTTTGACGAACCCACACCCCCCCCAGCTACGAAACTAATCTATTCTGCCACTAAACTAATCCTCCTCCGTCCGGCGCCGCTATTGCCGCCGGCGTCATTTTCTGGCTCCAACCCCAAACCCGCCGCACCTGCTTTCTCTTCTCTCTCTCTCTCTTCCTTTTCCTCGTGTGGTGGATCTCTCCCCTCGACTCCGCCCCCCTCCGTACATCCCACTCCTCCTTCTGTTAGTTCTTGTCGAACCCTTGACGATAAGAGGCGCAAGGACTATCCCGGTGTCTTTTAACCATCCTTCCGGTCCTCCGCCGTTTTTGAATGGGTCCAGTTTTCTCTCCGCCTACTGTTTTGTGAGTAACAACGGCAACGGATCCTGCATACGAAATCCTCCGCGCATTTCCATCTCACAGCTCGTTGGTTGCCTTCGGTCAAACATTCAACCACATCCGCCTCCGGAGAATAAGGGAGAGGAAGAAGTTATTCTACTATAACCGTTTGACTTAGTTATCGCTATTATCATCGGCCAGCCTATCAGCTCAATTCGTGGAGGGGCATGTGTCCCGCAACGTAATTTTGGGGAGTATGACGTCTGAAGCGACTGGTTTCGCCCATACGAACATGGAATCCGGTATGCAGCGCCCCTCACCACCGTCGGTCGAGAATAAGTATTGTATACTGATATCGTTGATTTTGTCCCCAGACTCTTTGGCCGCTCAGCAACCCGTCCCAGCGCCAGCTGGGCAGGGTACGAATTCAGCTGATCAGGAGAACAAGACTAAAGCACAACCAAGCCAGGTCCGCTTCTCTTCAACAACAGAGGAAATTGAGCCATCGGCCGCCACTGGTGGCCCCGCACCGAGGCCGGCCGAGACCCCCAAGCAAATGGATGACTTGCGGTCGTTGGCGGCTAGCCTTCAAAGATCCCAATTACAAGAGTCTCGGCTGGGGAGTTTCTCATATGATCCCGTCTCTCTACCTTCTTCAAGGGTATGTATGCGCAGGTAATCTGCCGGCATGTGGCTGCATATGTTCTGCAAGGCACCGTCCTCACATCGGCCCGCCCGAACTGAGGGGAGAGAAAGAGGCTAATCACCATGCTGTCCCTTACAGGTTGCGTCTCGAGAATCAAGCGATCGCAGTACACGAGGAGCTAATGGATCTGGTTTGCCGTCTCCCCATGCCTCCCCACCAGTGTCCGTGATGCAATCACCACCACTTACACCCGCGGCCACCCATTCGCGTGAATCCAAAACTAATGGCACTTCCTCCATGTCGATTGCTACAGATCGAGGAACCGGCGCAAACTCAGCGGCGATGACCCCAGAGACATCTCCACCCACAGGTGGATCCACGAAGAGCCAAGCGCCCCAAAGCGCCCCAACTTCGCGGCCTGGTTCGACCGATCACCTAGCAAAGACCAATGTCTCGCAAACATCGTCTCACCCACAGAATGGAGCAAAACATCGGGCGCAGTTCTTCATTGGGCCCGATGCCAGCTCTCAAGACGAAAGCCCACCAGCCACCCCTAGGGTCGACTACACTCCTCCTGGCGCCATCACGCCAGTAGGAGAACCGGATGATCCGTACGCTCGCAGTAAGCGCCCTCCTCAGCCGAAGAACCTTGCTCAGCTCGATCAGCGGTTTATTTTTGGCGGCCGTGACTTCAAACGGCGTGCACACACCTCGTCGTTCGGCCGTCCATCGACCCCCCGGTCGGCAAGCGCGAGTGATCTGAAGGCAAGCGATAAGCAACGTAGTGGGTTTTTCGGCAGCAAAAAGGACTCCAGACAGCAAGAACCCGAGGGTAAGCATCATGGCCATATGGCGGAGCTCAAGCGATTTTTCAAGATGGGTCATAAACACAAACGCGCTGAGTCACCATCATCGGCAGCGAAACGGTCGAGCAGGTCCTCTGGGAAGAGCACGCCCTATCAAATGGCACCCGACAGCGTCCCGTTTGCCGATGATCATGGGCTCAATTCCAAGTATGGAAAGTTAGGGAAGGTTCTAGGATCTGGGGCCGGTGGCTCTGTACGGTTACTGAAACGTAACAGCGACGGCGTGACTTTTGCCGTGAAGCAGTTTCGAGACCGTCATTCCTGGGAGACGTTGAAGGAATATTCGAAAAAAGTCACAGCAGAGTTCTGCATTGGGTCAACTTTACACCATGGCAACATTATCGAAACCCTTGATATCATCCAAGAAGGGACCCATTGGTACGAGGTCATGGAATACGCCCCATTTGACCTTTTTGCGATTGTTATGACCGGCAAGATGCAGAAGGAAGAAGTCGCGTGCTCCTTCAAGCAGATTCTCAGCGGAGTGGCATATCTACACGGGATGGGCTTGGCCCATCGGGATTTGAAGCTGGATAACGTGGTTGTCAACGAGCATGGCATTATGAAACTGATTGACTTCGGGAGTGCTGTTGTTTTCCGGTACCCTTTTGAGAATGACATTGTTCCCGCTTCAGGTGAGTCTGGCCGTTATGCTCATGAAGGCGTTCTCATAAAGGAACTTGTTTTTTGAACTTACAAATTCATTCAGGAATCGTGGGTTCCGATCCGTACCTCGCCCCGGAAGTGTATGATGAGAAGAAATATGATCCGCGCCCTACGGATATCTGGTCTCTGGCTATTATCTTCTGCTGCATGAGTTTGCGGCGATTCCCTTGGAAGCAACCCCGAGTTAGCGATAACTCCTATAGACTCTTTGTGTCTTCCCCTACCCCGGGGACTCCGGTGCCAGATGCTGATCCGAAACGCCATCGACCGATCAAGTCTGCTCCTGACCTCTCCTCATCTGCGCGGGAAGGCCAGTCCTCGGAATCGAAGAATGGAGTGTCCGGGCCACCGCCAGAACCCTCTAAAAGCCAGGATGCGCCAAAATCCCAACCGAAACCGGAATCAGCCACCCAGGACGAAAATCAACCCCCAGAGAGCCCCCAAGAGAAGACACCTAGCGACAATCAGAAAAACGGTAATGGTGACAACAAACCCAGACGCACAACCAGTAAAGAGGCACCCCCGCTTCCCCCCGGCGCGGCACCCCCGTCAGGACAACGTCAGGAAGTCATCAAGCCCATGGAGGCTTTTGCGGCTCCTGCCTCGCGAAAGCCGTTATATCATCGGCCGGATGCTCAAGGTGAGCGTGAAAGAACGAGCGATCCTCGATGATGTCTTGACCGATGAATGGATTCGAAACATCGATGCCTGTCACCAAGAGGTCTCTGGGGAGGTTCACAGGGCTCCGGGCCATACACATATCCTGGAGCCACCTTCTCCGAGCCCCGCAGTGGCCAGTAAGGCCAAATAGGCCTCTCACCCTTAATACCAGCTAATACTCTTTGTGGTCCATTTTCCGACCCGAGACCTTTGTTTCCATATTGCTTTGTTGCTCCCGGTTGCTTTCGAGTCGTGATACACTTTTGTGGACTTTTACCGTCAAGTTATGGTTCAGGGCATATTGCCCATGGTGGTCTTCTGTCACTCTTTAGCCGTTTTGTACGGTTCAATATAGGTCATGAGGTCAATGCTTTCTACGCTACCTCAGTTGTTTTGATTATCCACTTTCACTTTCCCTGTGCTGGGAAGAGGGAGCAAATGCTTCCGCTCCGCCCTTTTTTTCCCCCCCACGTTGTTATACAGGCGTTTCTGGTCGGTCGTGTGAAACGGAGCTGCTCGGGCGATTAACCTTCCCAGCAAACAATGGCTGGTTGTTAGACCTCTATTGCCCCTTTCTACTTGTTTTACATTTCTTCTTTGGCTTCGATATTTCCTATGCAGTATTATATCGTGCATCTGGCTCGATTCAAGGGTCACCTCATCCTTCGGTCTGCTCATTCATTTCACATGCCCCTAATTGTATTCATCAAGCCAAAACTAGCCAGGTAGATACTATAAATACATGAACTAAAGAACTGTCTGCAGTTCAAAAGAGGAAAGGATTAATGCAAAAAGTCAGCAGCGGTAGTCATTCAGTCTGTTGATCGAGGTCCAGCCACTTCCATGTCTCATTTAATGCCCTCGTGTCCTTCTATATCACCATGTTCTATTGTAGATTTAATACAGGACTCTTCTATGTTACCACTTTGAATGAACCAGACCTGGACGTTGATAAGGGCACACACCAGGTCTTGAACGATGGAGACGTAACGAAGAGTATTAGCCGCCAATATGGTCGATATAACGAGTGAGATTTGCAGCAAAATATTTACATGTACATACAATGGGTGAAACCTGGCGTCCTCCGGGCGGCGGAGATTGCGGAGTTTAGCGAGATCTGCGATTATCGGAGTTTCTTCAGGTCCCAGGATGCGCCAGGAATTCCATCCTCTGCAGTCCGCTCCTTCGTGCCACGTCCCAACCCCGCGTTTCACTATCATGGCTCAGTCACCCGAAGCGGAGCCATTGGTCTCCTTATGGACGAGGTCTTTGCTTGTATGCTGTGATAATTACGCTTCGTCCCCCGCTTGATCGTCTGTCAACTAACCTTTCCTGCCGCACAAGTCTGGTGCAGTGGCCGGGCTCACTGTCGACTGTTCTTTGTACCCATTAGATACGATCAAAACACGCCTTCAGAAAGCTAGACACCATGCCCCATCGGTCCCCCCTACCAGTCTGTCCCTGAGACAGACTATCCGAGGAATCTATGCTGGTCTCCCTTCCGTCCTCTTCGGCTCGGCACCATCAGCCGCATCCTTCTTCATCGTCTACGATGGCGTAAAACGTTCTCTTCTACCAGTCTCGAGCTCCGAGACTCCGTCCCGGACACATATAATCCTTACACATTCTCTTGCGTCTTCGATGGGTGAGGTAGCAGCTTGCGCAGTTCGCGTGCCTACTGAAGTTATCAAACAAAGAGCTCAAGCGGGTCTCTTTGGTGGCTCAAGTTTGTTGGCCTTAAAGGATATTCTGGCTTTGCGCCATCCAGATGCTGCCCGTGGGATAAGTGGTGGTTATGGACAGGTCATCAGGGAACTGTATCGGGGAGCCGGTATCACCATTGCAAGGGAAATCCCGTTCACCGTTTTACAGTTCACTATGTGGGAATCAATGAAGGAGGCATATGCCAAGCGCATGCAGCATACCTCGAAATCTGGCTCGGGCTCTTCCATAGACCAGGTGCCGGCCTCCACAAGTGCCATGTTCGGTAGTGTCGCTGGCGCAATTGCCGCCGGGCTTACGACCCCTCTCGACGTCATCAAGACGCGAGTCATGCTCGCTCGTCGTGGAGATGGTGCGGAAGGTGGTCGAGTGCGGATCAAGGACGTGGTTCAGGATATTTCCAAGGAAGGATTCGGGGCTTTTTGGAGAGGTATCGGACCACGGGTGGCTTGGATCGGTATTGGAGGCGCCGTGTTTTTGGGTAGTTACCAATGGGCATGGAATTCCCTTGAGAGGAAAAGTAGGTCTCAGGACGAATAAAGGACTCATGTATATATAATCTCATCGCTTGTACAATACACCATAGCGTTATAAATAGACGAGGTATCATAGCATATCGGACAGGGCGCTCTCTCTGCATCATGCATTGTCGCAGCTCTTCCTTGCCATCCACTTTAGTTCCTCAGCTTGTTCAGCAGTCAGGAGTTGTTCCATCTTCTCTACAGTCAGGAAGTCATGGTCATAAAACTCAAACCCTGGAACAACAGTCTTGATCAATCGTCAGCTTCCATTCCTTGTAATACTAGCAGCTTCCTAGCATTGACCACTGACCTCGCTAATTAACAACCCCTCTGACTTCAAGTTGTTATCACCAGACAAATCGCCATCGCAATCCGGCAACAAATAGCTGGATTTATACTTTCCGCCCTCCACAACCCATTGCAGTCGCTCTCCCTTGTCAATCCGATGGCCCACCACAAATGATTCAATGGGCACTTTCCCTTCATCCTCCTTCGCCTGGTCGGCGTGCAGGATGACGTACCGACCTCGGCCACGGTGAAGGGTATGCACCGTGCGACTCCGATTGCGATGGAAATATCCCATCGGCGACCGGGGCGTAATGAAGTAGTAGATCGTAGTGCTCGCTGACCGGGTAGCTTTCTCAGCATCTGGCTCCATTATTCTCTTACTCTTATCCATGTCGTCGCGATAGGGATCTGGGACCCGGAGTGGATGACGATCGGTTTCGCTGTAATAGCCGCCCTCGGGGTGAGGTTATAGTTGGAGGGCCCGGATCGTCTTTTGGATGTTGGGCGATTCAGGTACGCTCTCCTCGTTGGTCGCAGGTGGTTGCTAGTAGGGCTTGACTAAGGTGGCGGGGATGTCCATTTGGACTTTAATTTACTACTCTTTGCTCGGCTTTTTCCTGTTTGGAAAGACTTGGTTGTAGCCCATGTAAGCTGAGACTCTCGCGGAGACCTCGATATATCATGCCTATGTCCCGATGATCTCACTCACGGAGTTTACCAGGGATTGATTCGATTGGTTAGTTTCATTTGGTACTTAGTATACAACCACCTGGCGGAGTATTTCTAGCAGTATAGATAGTACTAGCTCGTCTATGTTATGCATAGATCACTGTGTATGTACAATGGTGTCAGTTATAGCTGTCGGCTGAAGTGAATAGCCACTATACTAGCATCTACTCGAGGATTAGTAGAGAATGTTCAGTGGCATCGGACAAACTGCGGCGGTCAACACAACCCCGGCAAATGATATCACTGCACTGGACGTTAAATGAAGTGCGGGAGTGGAGAAGTCGTCCTACTAGTCGTAAGTAATTAACATCCCGCACTGGTTCACTCCAATGGACCTGTGCTGCAGTCGAAATGAAAACATGTATATACATATATCCGTATATATATAACAGAAAGGAATGGAAAGGAGTCGAGAAAGAAGAGATAGGTAAATACTATACTACGATCAGGTACTAGTAGTAGTATGTCACTGGGATGGCATCATGTGAGGAGGAGGCATGACCTTCGGGACTAAACTTAAGATAATCAAAGCCTCCACGCTTGTCATTTCCAGGCACACCACTTAAACTCCAGTAGCTCTCTCTCTCTCTCTTTCTCTCTCCCCTAATCTCTTTTGCTGTGGGCTCTTCTCTTTCGTTCACCTCCTTACCCTCCTCTTGGTTGTGTTGTTCCTTTGATTTTTGTGTGTTGTGATTGATTTCTTTCCTTTCCTTCTTATACCTTCAAGACTCCTGGGGATGCTCCCGGTTGCGACTGTTGCGACTGTTGGTGAGTGATCGACCGCCCACTTGGTCTAACCTCCGCACTGAGCGCCGTCTCCTCCGCACTTCTTTCTCAACTCGCCTCTTCCGAGGACCTCAACACTACATGGCCCGGAAATTAAGTCACCAGAGGATCACATATGGTATGTTAATTTTCCCACCAGATTTAGTCTATTGATTTATTCTCTCGTGGTGTTTCTGCTGCTGGTCTTACACCTGTCTCACTTGTAGATCCTCCACTAACGATTGTTTTTCGCTCTGCTCAGTGCTACCTCTGCCTGATGCCCCTGGCGGTCATCGGCTGGGGGTAAACGGCCTAGAAATCGACACAGATAACTCTATCCTGTGAGCACCCTCCAAACCCCTCGTTTTCGGCGTTTCTGTCAGAATCTTTGCCGCGCCCTGGGAACGACCGCTTTCGCCGGTGTCGCCGTCAACTCGGCGCTAACTACCGTCCGTGAAACAGGTATTCCGCTGGTCGCGATGGTGTCATCTGCTCATGGGATCTAAATTCATCACTGAAGTCATCGTCCCCTCCCACCTTGGGCGCTTCGAAACCGGCTCCCACGACATTCCGAAACCAAGTCCAGGCGCACAGCCATTGGATCAATGACATTGTTCTAACGAAGAACAACTCTGCCCTAGTCTCTGCATCCTCCGATACTACTGTACGACTATGGCGACCGCATTCCGAATGTACGGAAGTCTCGGACCCTATCGGGAAACATGCGGATTACGTCAAAGCGCTGGCTACACCGGGGAGCCATGCCTCTTGGGTCGCATCTGGAGGTCTAGATCACAAAGTCTACCTGTGGGATTTGAATCGCGGTGGGGAGATATTGAATATTGACGCCTGCGGAGGGGATAGCACGGCCAAAGGGTCTGTATATGCGCTTGGAGCTGTGTCTTCTGTGATCGCCAGCGGCGGTCCAGAGAGTGTGGTCAGAGTGTGGGACCCCAAATCCGGGAAGCTGATCACCAAATTTGTCGGACATACAGATAACATTCGAGACATTCTGGTAAATCGTGACGGGGATACGATCATGACGGCATCG